GTAGCAATGCTTTATTCCAAAAACAGGGAAATAATATATTTACCATACTCAAAATTGGGTCTACAAAGGACAGTATGATTTTTGTTCAGTGATTCATCCCCATAATTTCAATTAGACAAAGCATAAGAAAAGACTTACCTGTTTTATGTGTGGATTCATGGCCATTTCAGTTACATTCTTCTTGGTCTCGCAGAAAATAATAGCCCTCCCTTCAGACCCACTGTAGACTTGAAGGACATCTCCAATGACTGCTGGCCTCTGAGACCAATGACACTGGATTGCCAAATGCTTTGAGGAAAGAAAATGTCAAATATCTGCTTCATTAAAATTATTTAAGAAGATTTCTCTTGTACACTTTTTCTATCAGATCAAAAATTAGCCTTCCTGGGAGACTTCTACAAAGACTCTCCTCAACTCCATTTAAAAACAATATACAAATGACCATTAATAGGTGAAAAGATAAACAAATCATAGTATATTCAAATAACAGAATGCTATCTAGCAATAAAGAAACCAATTACCGATACACAAAAAAACATGGATGAATCTCAAAATATACGCCCAGCGAATAAAGTCTTAGAGAAAAAGAGTACATGTAGTATGATTCCATTTATATGAAGTTCTAGAATAGGGAAAACTAATGTATAGTGAGAGAAAAATCAGAACGATTGTCTCTGGATGGGGGGAAATGACTGGTGAGGAACATGGGTTGATGGTAATATTCACTGTCTTGATAAGGGTTTGGGTTAAAAACACATGTATGAATTTTCAAAACTAGGCAAATGTACACTTAAAATTTTGCATTTCATTGTATATAAATTGTTTTTTTTTAGACAAAGTCACCCAGGTTGGAGTGCAGTGGTACCATCATAGCTCACTGAAGCCTGGGACCCCTGGGCTCAAGCAATCCTCCTGCCTCAGCCTCCTGAATAGCTGGGACTATAGGCACACACCACCACATCAGACTGACTTTTTAAAATTTTTTGTAGAGACAGGGTCTCACTATGTTGCTCAGGCAGGTCTTGAACTCCTGGGCTCAAGCAATCCTACTGCCTAGGCCACCCAAAGTGCTGGAATTTACAGGTGTGAGCCACCACACCTGGCCTCACTATACATAAATCTTATCTTAAAAAACCGTAACTATTATATGGATGAACCTCAAAAACAAGCTAAGTGAAAGAAGCCAGAAACAAAGTCACATATTATATGATTACATTTACAGTCATGCGTTGCTTAACGACAGCAGTATGTTCTGACAAACGCATGGTCAGGTGGTTTTGTCATTGTGTGATCAGAGTGTACTTACACAAACCACCTAGATGGTATAGCCTACTACACACCTAGGCTATATGGTATGGCCTATTGCTCCTAGGCTACAAATGTGTACAGCATGTTACTGTATTGAATACTGTAGGCAACTATAACACAATGGTAAGTATTTGGTATCTAAACATAGAAAAGATACAGTAAAAATATGGTATAAAATATAAAAAAATAGTACACCTGTATAGGACAGCTCCATTATAATCTTATGGGACCACCGTCGTATATGCGGTCCATCGTTGACCAAAACATCGTTATGCGGCGCATGACTGTATATGAAATATCCAGACAGGCATATCCATAGAGACTGAAAGCAGATTGGTGGTTGACAGGGGCTAAAGAAAGGAGGGAATGGGGAGTAACTGCTTAATGGTTATGGGGTTTCCTTTTGGGGTGAAGAAAATGTTTTGAAACTAGATAGAAGTGATGGTTGCACTGTAAATGTACCAGATGACACTGAATTGTATACTTTAAAATGGTTGGTTATATGAATTTTACCTCAATAAAAAAATTGTAAATATTGCGCTCTAGTTAAAGATACGCATGCTAAAATACATATGGGGAAGTATACTCATTTCTGCAATTTGAAATGAGTCAAAAAATAAGATGGATATAGGGATGGATAGACATGTAATAAAGGAAATACAGTAAAACATAATGTAGAATGTAAATGGCAGTGAACACCGTAAAATTCTTCCAATCTGTGTGTCTGAAAAGTTTTACTATAAAATGTTGGGAAAAACTTATATTGTATATTTTAAATCTGTGCATTTTAACATACACCTCAACAAAACTGTTTTTAAAATAACTGTAACATGTATTAATTACAGAATACCTGAAAAGCAGAGAAAAGCACAATGAAAACTAAGAATCACTTATACCACCTACAACGAAGTCTTGCTTCTTCCACAACTCGGAAAAAAAAAAAAAAACCTGCAAGTGATCAGCCCACAATCTAACCATCAACTCAAAGGAAAATGAAGGCAGAGCAAAATGTTAAATAATACCACAGGGATGCAAATAAGCAAAATTGAGACTATGGAAAACTTGTAAGACAAATAATGAGTTTTTTTCAACAAAAAATTGTAAAGAAAAAGAACTTGTAGATTAAAAAATATGTAAGACACATATCAACCAGTTGAAACATAAAGATCTTATTTGGATCCAGAGTTAAACAAACTTTTTTTTTTTAAAAAACAAAAAGGCAGCTAGGGTAATGTGCACACTAGATATTTAAGGATATTAAAGAATTATTGTTTTTCTTCTACTGTGATAATGACTGTGGTTGTTTTTTTAAACGAGTCTTACTTATCATTTAAAAAATATATACAATTAAATGAAGATGAAATGATGACTGGGATTGCTTCAAATGCAGCGGTGAAGAATGTATTAGGGTACAGAAAAGATCACTATTAAAGCCTGGTGATGGGTACATCATGTTCCTTATGCTACTCAATTTTTGTATAGATTTGAAAATGTCCTCAACAACTTTTTGTTCCACTGATATATTTTACATCCTTAGTGTAAAACTTTCAACCATTACAAAATATACAAAGCTTCCTTTGACCATTCTGCACTGCAACAGTCCCCTTTTCCAGAAGTAATCATTATTTGATGTTTATTCTTCCAACCTATTTTTGCACATTTACATAAATAAAGAATCCAATTAGTGTTATTTGTATAATTTTTTAAATAGTGTGATTTTGTACATATCATTCTGCAATTTGGTTTTATCACTCAATCTTAATTCATTCTTTTTCACCACTACATTGTATTCTATAGATAATACTATTGTTCACTTACCCTATTTTTTCCTACATATACATATCTATTAAATGGAAAAGTGACATATATGGTACATATCTGTCATAAATACTATAAATATTACCTTTAATTTTTTTTGAACATACTATTAGTTTAATTTTCATGAAGTCAAAATTATCAGCCTTTTCCCTTATGGATTCTTCTTCTGACTTCTATGTTTAGAAAAGTGTTCCCTTTCCTGAGATCAAATAACTATTCACCTACGTTGGCTTTAACTTATTTTATGGCTTAATTTTTGAATCTTTCACAAATTTTTTTTGGTATAGGATATGGGATGGGTATCTTCTTTCACCTAAGCTTTAACAAATTATCCCAGCATTATTCTTTTCTAGTCAATATGAATCACCTTCTTTATTGCATTCTAAATACAAGTCTTTCTTTGAGCTGCTTTAATAAATAAATATTTTAAGTCTATCTCTACGGCTGCTTGTAGGTCTACTATTAGGATGTGCCTGTTCACATACCTTTTTTTCCCTATTTATTCTATTCTGCTCCTCAGTCTCAGTCTATAGAAATACATGTAGTTATCTTATCGACTAAGAGCAGAAAAGAGAGATTAGGACTGAATAGGTACCCAAAGCTTAAGTTTAGCTTCAACAAATTTCAAAAGTAAATACCAACTAAAAGCTAAAATCTATCATGCTGGAAAGCTACTTACTTCCACAGTAGTTGCAGCCTTTTGAGTCATTTTTCCAACAAGGTCAACCTGTTCATATCTGGATTTCATGTATTTTTTTGCAACTTTGTATACCCACTGTGGGCAAGTTGCAGAAAAAAGTAAAGTCTGAGGATTGTCTTCAGAATCTTAAATAAACAAAAAGAATTCAAATGTTTTCTTAATATCCCATGATGTAGCCAGCTCTTAAAAATCCCCCCAAGCTTCAAAGAAATAATGAAAAATCCAAAACTTGGGGTGAATTTTTAACATACAGACTTCATTGCAATTATTGAAACTTTAAATTTTCAAAACTGGGGGACAATATGAAGAGAACTGAATCCGGAAGGAAGGTGAGAATTTAAGGAGGAACAATGAACAAAGAAATCAATAAAATGAGTTAGTAAATCTAACTACTGACTATAAAAAATCATATACAGAAGCATAGAAAGCTAAGAAAATACTTAAAAGTATGCTATAGTACTTTCTTTTTCAGTGAGAGAACAGATACAAATAACTTTAGTTTTGTTAGAATACCAGGGGACAATGCAATATAAATTATGAAATAAAAAACTCACAAGTTTTTAAGATCAAAGAATAATTGGTAATGTGCTTATTTTGAATTAGGATATACCAGTTTTGTAGGATTCGTGAATAATATCTTCAACTTGTTCAGCAAAACCTAAATCTAACATCTGATCCACTTCATCAAGCACAACATGGCGCAGTTTAGAAAGATCCAATCGGCCACTCTGCAGATGGTCTTTGATACGACCAGGGGTCCCAACCAAGATGTCAATACCATTTCGAATATGATTAACTGGAGAGGAGAGAAATGCCAATAAAATGTAAAAATCAAATAGATACTTTCACATTATTTCTTTAGACTTAAGTAGCAAATACATCTTTGCATTACTGTCATACATATTTACTCACTTTGGCTTTGATATGATGTTCCACCATAAAAACACGCCACGCTGAGTTTCCTAGTTATATCTTTGAAGTCTTTGGCTACTTGGTTTGCCAATTCCCTTGTTGGAGCCAAAACAAGTACCTAAGCAAGAGGTTTAAAAAACAAAAAAGATACTTTTTTGAAGACTTACGTAAATCCAAACTGAGAAGACTTTTTCAAGGTGCTTTAAACTAGGAATCTCAATATTAATGTCTTAAGTATTTAAAGACAGTACAAATAACAAAAAGAACAATAGTTTATATTTATTATATTCTCCCTTACTTCCTTCAGTTCTCTTCAAAAGTCACTTTCTCAGTAAGGTTCCCAAGCCTCTATTCATATCCCCTACCTCTCATTATTATTTCTACTCAGCACTTATTCCACCTAAGATATTTATATTTTACTTATTCACTGATTATCTATCTCACCCCCTATAATGTAAGCTACACCTAGGCAAGGACTTATGTGAGGTTGGGTTACTGTATTCCTTACACTTCAAACAGTTCCTGGTACAGAATAGAAACTCAAAAATACTGGCTAAACGAATGAATGAATGTTCACCATGTGCCAGGCACTAATGCTTTACAGGAATTATTTAATTTTATTCTTGCAAAAACCCTATGGGGCAGCATTATTATCCCAATTTTATAGATGAGGAACCTATGTCTTAGAGAAGTTAAAAGTCTTACCCAAGATCAAACAGCTAGAAGTGTTGGAGCTGGACTCTCCAGTAACATCTTTCTAGCACAACAGCTTTTGAAGGCACTGTTGAGACTATGTCCTATCTCTATTACTTGCAGTCTTTCCTAATTTTACCCAAGAAATACAACTCTCCAAAAAACATTTATCCTGAAAGCCAACA